ACACAGGTGACTCTCACTGACTGCTCGCACCAACCGGAGGGGCTGAGGGGGAGGGGACGTGTGACTCCTTATGCTCTTCGCTGCACACAACTGAGGGAGTCCTGCACTTTCCGTCTTTGACGACACGTAAAAAAACTGTGCATACCGCAGGAACGGTAGAACGGGAAATTTGAGTGGTTTTGAAACCGTGACTTTTCCAAACCGCGTTATACCCTGAAACCGGTTATCGTCCCATGCCTAGTTGCTACTACTACTACTACTACTACATGTTTCAGATGATAAGCCACATTTGAGGTCGACGAACGAAACGAATGTTTGGATGTCCGATGTACTGTAATTACCACATAGACCAGCTGTTAATGATCTGTCCATCACGGACTACGTGACTTTGCCATTTCCTGTGGATTATTTTTTTTCATGACTAATACAATTTTGATCGACTAAGCCTCTTCTCGTCGACTAACGGTCACCTAGTCGACTATTAGGGGGCAGCCCTACATAGTAGAATAGAAAACAGTTATTTTAAATAGCAACAATATTTCACAATATTACAGTTTTTACTGTATTTCTGATCAAATAAATGCAGCCTTGATGAACATTAAAAAAAAATCTTACCAATCCCAAACTTTTTATTAGTAATGTATATTAATGTTTGATGTAAAATAATGCATTTTTTGTCCTTGCTGACTAGTCTTTCTTGATTCTCCCAACCTTAATCCTTCTGTAACCAGACAAACTACACAAACTGTTACCAAAGTCAAAATGCATGTGTTACCTTATCAGTATATTCGCACAGGATATTTTCAGGCTTAAGGTCCCGGTGAGCGATTCCTGTTGGAAATAGTGAGACAAGTCTATGTAAACACACTCGTGCCGAGTCATGGTCAGTAGACCAGTGTACAGTACTTACCTTTGTTGTGCAAAAAGTCCAGTGCATGTGCTATATCCCTGACCACATGACTAGCCTCTCTCTCATCAAAGTATTTTCGACACTGGATGTGTGTTAAAATGGAACCTGAGAGGGAAAGAGAAACCTATTTAGAAAATAAATACCCGAGAATGAAAATGCAACTGTATTTTACCTCTATAAAACTGTACAGTACCTCCACGCAACTTCTCAAACACCAGATAAAAACAGCAGTCATCTTCAAAAAACTGAATGAGCTCCAGAATGTTCCTGTAGAGAAACACATAATGTGTGCAGTTATGTATAATACTAACTACAATCAATTACAGTAATTTGTGTGATTGAGTATAATTATATATAAAGTATATAATTAAGTATGATGACTATTGTGGAATAAGAGCATACTTATTTCCTTGACACTGGTAAAGCGTCTCCACCTCTCTGAAAACTCTACTGCGACTGTGACCAGCGTTCTTCTCGATTATCTGAGAAATGTAGCCACACGTTACACACAAAGTCATTTATTATGTTTGTTTGACAAAGCAAAACAATGTGAAACACTTCAAAGTTTGAAAATACAACTTCCAACCGATCTCTGATGACTTACTCATAAAGACATCAACTACAACCTGCTGGCCGTTTTAGTTTCTTATTTAGAGTATCATTTCATTAATAATAGTAAAATAAGATAAGATAAAAAATCATATTTCCATATTTAAAAAAAAAACATTAAAGGGATAATTTGCGGAAAAATTAAAAGCCTGCATGACATACAGTATACTTTCTTTTGTGGACCATATTTTGAAGACTGTTGGACTATAGTTAACAAAGCTGTTTTGGTTACCAACATCTTTCATTGTATGAACAAAAAATACTGAGCTGTTTCGCAAATAATCTTCTTTTATGTTAGGTCATTGTAGGTTAACATTTATGTGTAATACACTTTATGTTGAATCTATAAATCTATAAAATATCTCTTTCTAAAGCTACTTTTTGTAATGTCTACTGGATCATGTAATTAATTAGATTAAAAATTTAATCGACTGACAGCCCTAGAAAATAGCTTTTATTGGACCCTCTGATCACACAGCAAAAAAAAAAGAAAGAGAAGATGCTCTTAATCAGTATTTGTCTTGTTTTCCAGAGCAAATGTCTAAAATTGTTAAAATAAAGAAACATGTACTTGACAAGCAAATATAAGGAGTCATGTTTTCTGTGACATTTATCAAAATTAATTGAGTTCACGATAAAAAAACAAAAACAAATATCTGGCAATGGGCTCAGAAAAAATCAACTTAATTCAAAGAGAAAACAAGTTTTCATTCTCCATTGACAGATATTTGTTCTTGTTTTAAACAAACTCACTTCATTTTGTTCAATTTCTCAGAAATCAAGACTTCTTATCTTCATTCTGCATCTCAAGCAAATGTATCTTGATTTAAGGATATTTGTACTGGAAACCAAGACAAAAAATATCGAGGAAAATATACATTTTTTGCAGTGCATGCAACATTTAATGCCAAGAGTTTATGAAATTAAGACTTTTCTACCTTTTTAAGGCTTTAATTTTGTGGAAGGGAGAATTGAGACTTTATAAAGACCTTTTTAATACCCACAGAAACCCTGTTACTCACATCTCACCTTCACAGCATATTCACTGCCGTTCTGTAAACTCACACAGCCCTGGACTTTAGCATAAGCTCCCTGACCCAGCAGCTCGTCCGTCAGCTTGTACAGATCTGCAACACACACACACACTTGTGAAATGTGAATTGACTCACAGCTTACCCAATCAGGAAATGTTGGGAGGATTTGCAATCAAACATTCTTAAAGATCTGATGATGCACGACACAGATTATACAGACTGCAAATGCGGGGTAAACCATAGAACAAGAAGGTGCACATTATGAGGATTAATAAGAGTTTTTGTAATTTTCTAGATGGTTCAGTACCACTAAATTTGCCAGTGAAACTGTCCGTGGCCCGAGTTCTGCGTTTCTTCTTCCGCCGTGTAACCAGGTCTGTGATGGTGATAGGTTGACTGCTCTCCATTCCTAATCCCAAAATAAAAACCACAAAACCAAAGATGTTACATCACAGATTCTCAGAAATACTCTGTGAGAATTCAGTCTTTGAAATGATTGCATGATTTGAAGGGTGTGTTTTCAAACGTTTCATCATAAGCAGCTGTACCTGCGGGGCTGTTGGGGGCGTGAGAGATCAGACCACGGCTCTCCAACTGGCCAGATGCCAGAGCACAACTGGTTATCTGAGAGAAAGAGAGAAACATTTACACTCAAAACAGTGTTAGTGTTAGTATCAGAACAGCTAGTTGCTTCGGATCACCGCATAATAAAGACTTTTTAAATATCCCTATGTGAAAATGATTGGGGAAAATACTTCCGGAACCAAGGCTGCTGAAAAAAAAGAAGCTTATTTGCATTTTGTAAAGCATCAAGCATAAAGACAAAAAGCAATTGCAAAGTATGTTTATTTGAGCATTTCCAGTCGGGTGAGCAAGAGCCTGACGGTCATTGACATTCACATGCACAAACACTGATATGAACTTGTGTGCTTTATATGCTCCTCCATAAAGGTTTAAAGTCTAAATGATCATTATATTTCCATCATTAAAAGTTGTGCAAGACTAAATGATCATCATATTTTAAGTTAGCACTTCACTGTCAATGTCCTGTAAACATGAACTTTTATCAGAGGAAGAGGAAGTGAGTACTTGTCAGATTTCTCAAACAAGCCTATCATGACTAACAACGTGTTTCAAAACTTCTCCCCATATCTAGAATGAAATACCTCTACTAGACTTGAGAGAGCTGGTCACCTGAGCGTGACAGCTGGTTTTCTTCAGAGCAGGTTGAGTGAAATCATGTTAGAGCTATTTAACGCCTGAGTTTCCGCATTGAGAAGCGATATTAATGCCGTGACGTGTCTGGTCAAGCTCTTCTCATCTGTCTGCTGAGGGGAAAATCCGGCACACTCAACACGATATATTACTGTTTTACATGAAGGTGGATTAAATGACGTGGCGTATCGGAAAATAATATCAATATCAATCGTAGTATAAGAGATATCGCCATTCGTTAATAAATAATAACGGTTGTTGGGTAATAGGCGGGAATATTGGGTCAGCACTGCAGCGGGCTGGAAACAATTAACATATTTAAAGCAACAGTAGCTGCAAGTCAACACTGACTGAACAGTTCATCCGCAAATTCTAACAAATATATTCCAAACCCATATGGTTTTTTTCTTTCTTTCTTTTTCTCTGTGATGACAAGCACGGCCACATTGACGTTCACTGCACAAGTGAATGGAGACTGAGGGTGTCAGTCCATCTTTAATGCTCCACGAAGCCCCTGTTTGGCCGTATCAATGACAGAATTATTTTTTGAGTGAACTGTCCCTTTAAAAAAAGAACATGAACTGTAACCGAGTTACGAGGAAAAGCAACAAGTGTCAGAGAGCTGTTAAGTGTAGCAATGTCAGCAGAACTGTGATAGTGCTAACCGAAAAGATAATGATTTCTGAATAACTTTCGTTTTTAAGACATGAAACATTTGACTATGATAACTCGCGCGTACAAGCGTTTGTTTTTGCGACCTAACGATTCACTAGCGCGAATCGAGCGACCAGTACAGCCACACACGTAAACATCAACGAGCTTAATTTAGTATAAGCTACTTGAGCTCATGTAAAATGCCAATTACGTATATATAATGTATGCATGTTTAAAAAAAAAAGACTCAAACCTGGAAATTGCAGCCGAATGAGTCTAGCTGTGCCGTGATTGCCTCCGCCATCATCCCGCGCTGAACAGCAGCAGTCAGCAGAAGGAGGACAACAACAGAGAAACACAACAGCACCACCCCAAACGCGCCGAGTGCCCTCCTACTGCTGGACGCTGCGGTGTATTTGCGAATCATACTATGGTGACGAGTGGGCTCATGAATATTAATTAGGCTACGTGACTGCACGAACGAGGGAAATTACGAGGTCACGTAAGCATGAGCTAATGAATATATTCATATTCTAGAAGTTGCTGCTGCCACGGATCATTCATATATTCGTATTTCGCACTGGAGAAATACCGGTTTCACGCACAGACTGGTGCTAAGGAGGAATACGCTCAAATTAAATGATTAAGACTCCAACTGACTACCGTGTCCGTAGTGGAGAGTCAATGTAAAAAGGAGTTACGCAATCGATAGTGTGACGTGTAGTGAGTTTCGGTGTTATTATGGTATCATCACTGAGATATTATTATTAATATTTTTATTCATATTTAATTTTTATTTAATATTTTTTCAAATTTTGGATTCATGTTTTATTTTTAAATCAGTTTTTATATGTATTTTAAATTGTAACAAAATGTATTAGTAATTCTTATTGCGTTTGTCATTTTAGTAGCTTTTTATGTCCATTTAGGTCCATTCAATTTCAGTTTGAGTTATTTTACATTTAATTTACTCTAAATTAAAATGAGAAATGTTGCTTTGGCAACTAGCTAAAATAAAACTTGTTTAATATTTTATTTCAAGTAAGGATTTTTTTAATGGTTTTAATTTTAGTTTCAGTTTTAGTAATTATACTAATCCTGGAGTTTAATCTGAAATGTTCTGCTATGAAAGTTTTCCATGTGGAATTCGTTTCCTTTTTAGAGTGTTAATTTAGTAATTAGGTTAGTAAATAGGTTATTTTCTAAGTCTGGCATTATTTTAATGTTGCCATGATCCTGAGAAACCTGGAAATAAAAAGAAAATTGTTAAGGCCTGGAAAATGCATAAATATTATTAGGGTAGAGTGGGGGAAAACGCTTCCTTAAAGGAACACTCCACTATTTTTGAAAATAGGCTCATGGATTCATGGTGTACTTGCTTATTATGTACATTTTGTACATTTTGAACACAAAAAAAGTTACGGACTGCAGCTTTAAGGACTGTGTAATTTTTTTCATTGAAACAAAAGTTAAATGTGTCTTATCATAGTTTTAGTGACAATGATATAAATTACAAACCAAGTATGAAAAATCTCCAGAGATTTCATGTTATTAACATATTTCATGTTAACCCAGTCTGACAGAGCAATTTGCTTTATACATTTACAGCAAAATCAGAGTTCAGGAAGTTTTAGCTTAAAATTAAAAAGAATATAATCAATAATTATGAATTACAAAATTATAAAAGCCTATTTGAAAAATATTGTTAGCTGATGCTAACTGGCTAGCTAACTAGCTACCTGATGCTAACTCAAGCCAAAAACACGGTTTGGAAAATGGATTCATGGTGTACTTGCTTATTATGTACATTTTGTACATTTTGAACACAAAAAAAGTTACGGACTGCAGCTTTAAGGACTGTGTAATTTTTTTCATTGAAACAAAAGTTAAATGTGTCTTATCATAGTTTTAGTGACAATGATATAAATTACAAACCAAGTATGAAAAATCTCCAGAGATTTCATGTTATTAACATATTTCATGTTAACCCAGTCTGACAGAGCAATTTGCTTTATACATTTACAGCAAAATCAGAGTTCAGGAAGTTTTAGCTTAAAATTAAAAAGAATATAATCAATAATTATGAATTACAAAATTATAAAAGCCTATTTGAAAAATATTGTTAGCTGATGCTAACTGGCTAGCTAACTAGCTACCTGATGCTAACTTGAGTAATTTTTAAATATAAAGTCCAAATATTTTTATTCAACCACCTAGTTACAATACATTAGATGGAAAAACGAATTTGATGTTCAGAACAGAGTAACTACAGTAATGAAGCCAGGCCCTCTGGGGGTGTTTTACTCCACAGACTAGGTTTGAAAAAAAAAAAAACAATGAAAATATAATTATATTTTTCTTAAATAACACGTACTCCCTGTCTGCAGGCCTTACTATTCTCATATCATATATAACTGATGTTATGTAGTCCATAGCAACAACAAAAATGTATCTTGAATTTATCTCGTTATTTTGGGAAAAACAGTAAGCGTTTTACTCCAAGGGGTCGTTTTCCCCAACTCTACCCTATTATTATCATTATTATTGTTGTTGTTATTGTTATTATTATAAAGAAAAGTAAGGAATGTTAGAAATTGATGTATCATTGTTATGAGAAACGTATGGTATGGATTTTCATATCCAATTTCTTAAAAAAAAAAGTCTTTACATTTAAAATGTTTGTATTTTAAACTTGCATGCACAAAATACATTGTCACATTGTCAGAACAAAATGTCTGAAATAAGAATAATACTGTTGAGTACTATTCGTCATCAGTTACTAGCTATGGAAAAAGTTTCTTACTGCACAAGCCCTGATTAAACAGCCCCCATGGCACAGACACGGCAGAGCAAGAATGTAACCTCTAAAACTTAGCAGAAGTTTTAGACATGCCATTTCAAGACGTTTCCCTCTGGAACACTTTTTTTTTAAGTATCTTTGAAGACACATGGTGAAATGCTCACAATGTATGCAATACTAAGCAATCAATGCATCATTTCATATCAGTGCTGCAGAATTTGAGCTACTATGCATAATTTAAACATTTACATGTCTCAAGGACATGTGTTGAATTACTGGACCCACAGTTTTTCAGTAATACTGAAGCAAGGATGTATTGCATTTTAGCTCATTTGTGAGTCTCTGATCTCGCCTGATCTTAGACCAGACCTCAAGTACATTGTGCTTTTGGTCTGAATGTTTGACATTGGGATTCCCATCTGTTCTCCACATCTTTCAGTGGCAGATCCTCTCTGTCATTTCTTTCTGTGAAGACAGAAAATACCAACTTATTATGACAAACACACCACATTTGCATTGTGCTGTCAGCATCTAGTTTTTCATAAAACCTATTAGCTAAAGAGGAGTAAATTCTGCTAACTGCCACTATCATAATTTATTATTTTGTGTCTAATAACAGTTATTATTATAACACATTGGCAACATACACACTGCAGTTAAATTTGGTTGTCTATTCACCTTTTAGTGCTTAATCCTGTTCTGTTCACACACAGTTCAGTAATTTTTGGGAGTGACAACCAGATAGTGACAACTTCATTTACAGAAATTCTATGCGGTGTGTGCGGAAATGAACTGAACAACTAGTTGTTAATATCGTATTTAAACATATATCACAGTAATCTTTTTTGTATGTGCGGTGCAAGAAATTACAGGGTACGTTTTGATTCATTGGTGTTGACAGATCTTGCAAAAAAAAAAAAGAATGAAAGAAAAAAAGACAAATAAAGAAAAGCCCAATAAACTCAAATCCAAACACAGTACTTTAGAAATAAGCCACATGGCAAAATATAGCGACCTGCACCTGCCTACTTTATTAACTCCATATATTGGATCGCTTAATGAGCCGAGCCTAAACACCAATCTCAAAGAAGCCCAAACGCTTGATAACATTGCTTATAATAAGTGGACATGGCAACCCTTCAAGAGCACGCTCTATGAAGTAGCCTTCCAAACATAAACAAAACACAACGTGCTGTTGTGGTTTAGTTAAAATCACAGAAAATAATGATTCTTTGGTTGCTGTAATATTACTTTGGTCAAAAAAAATGCTGGAACGTTGCTATGGTTACCATGGTGCCAATCATCAGTTTTGAGAGTGAGTTCTGTTCCGTACACATGAAATGATAATTTAGGGGATTCACTACAATATGACACAGGCCATGTACACATTTTGTACAACCTGGGAGTGACTGTCGTTATATACAGTCGTTGCGTTTTGTTTATGTTTTGAAGGTTATTTTGCAGAGCTCGCTCTTGAAGGGTTGCCATGTCCACTTATTATAAGCAGTGATTATAAGCATCTTGGGGCTTGTTGTTTAGGCTCGGCTCATAAAGCGATCCATTTTTTGGAGTTAATAAAGTAGGCAGGTGCAGATATTTTGGTTTGTGGCTTTTTTCTATTTATAACGCCTCTTCCCATTTAATAGCGATATCTGGCAACACTGAGTCAATATGTAGCCTACTTCACTGTGATTTCCTGCACCACAATATGTTATGTGTTAACTATTTGTTCTGTTCAGTTCAGTTCCGTACAAACTGTGTAGAATTTCTGTAAATGTGGTCGTCACTACCTGAATTTTTTGGGAGTCAATTCAGTTGTAGAATGCGGTTGTCACTGCTGTAAATTACTGAACTGTGTTTACTGAACAGGATTAAACGCTAAATGGTATCACTGAGAAACTTTTTTTATTTTAGTTTTAGTTAGTGCATCGTGTTAAACTGACAACCGAATTTCGCTGCAGTGTGTAATGAAAGCACAGCGCTCTCTCTCACCAGCGGCTCCAACTCCGAATGGTCGATGAGACTGAACTCAGAGATGAAGTAGTAGTAGTGTTTGTAGCAGGTGTTGATGTGAGCCTCAGCTCCGATACTACAGATCATGTCAAAGTGATGGATGTACACGTGTACAAACACCCGAAACAAGCGGCTCAGTATCTTCTTGCACACCTGCTGAAAGTTCTTAGGAAAAGGGACTCCTAAAAACAGAAGAATACCAGTGTCACACTTCTATCACATTGAATTCAAGATGCTATATGATTTTCTTCTATGAGAAAAATCAAATGCTATTTAAGGAGAAAAAGCCTACTGAGTATGTCTCAAGGGTTTTCGGCCTGTAGCTCAGCCTGTGGAATTATGAACTGTTGGCAGTGCTTATGAGTATAGCTTCTGTAACTCTATCCAGTAATATTTTTTTCAGGCAAAAGTATGTCTGGTGTTCCTGGCCCCACAAATTATACAGCAATTCCTGAGAAACTTAACTGGACCATTTCTCAACCCAGTTATCCATTAATATTTCTACAACTAACTGTTTTTGTCTTATTTCCATTCATTTGTATACATCTGCTTATTTATTAATATGCTATACATTTCATAGCAATTTACTGAAACAGCTTAAAGGTCAATAACAAATAGGTGTGCCACGACAAAGACATTTTTTTTTTTAACTCAAACACAGATATACTGTTAGAACGGTAAATGAAAACAGAGTCAGGGTTTGATTGTACAGTTGAATAGATGCTCTGAAATCTGCTCTGAAAGTTATGAAACTTTAACTAAAATGAAAATGAAAATGGAAAATATAAAAATAAAATCTGATTCAAAATATATTTAGTGATATTAAAATATAACTGCTTTTGACCTTAACACACAGTCAGCAGGTGTCTGCAATTTTACCGTTTTATTTTTGCATGTTGTTTGCACTTCATGACTTAAAGGCTTTTCAAATATTAATAAACAACGAAGCAGTTAAAATAGTTTTTTCCCAATAAATAATAATAAAAGATAATGCCAAACTACTTAATAATGTTTTCTTTTCAAGAATTTGATCTTTTTAATAAAGCATGTTTCTATATTATGATATCTGTTGTATCTCCCTGACATATTTTTAACTTTGGCATCTAAAATATATCAAAATATTAATTTGGGAATTAACAAAAGATAAATGAGCAGACTGCACTAGTAGCCCTGTCACAGATATCATAATTGCATTGTTAAAATGTCTGGAAAACAGATTTGACGTCACGCACCTACTCGTGTAGGAAAGATGTCCTCATTGTTGATGAGGGACTCGATCCAGTTCATCAGGAGGTTCATGTATATAAGAGCAGGCAGTTTGGTGGGCCTCTTGTACTGATTCCCATCCTGCCACCTGTATTCATAACGTGGTCCTCCAGACATGATGGGACAGCTCTTCTCAGTGCAGAACTCGCTCACGGTCCCGTAGATGAGGTTGATTCGATTGAAGAAATCCACCACATGCACAGCTATCCAGTCATTAATGTTCTCCCCGTCTGGCAGCTGCACCACTTTCCTCAGGTCCAGGCCTGATTTCAGAGACGCCTGGGCTCTTTTGTACAGCTCAAAGCGTTGGGTTCCAGGTTCAAATCGCTTTCGAGGCCGGAATGTTTTGTCTTTGCTGAAGACCTGACCCAAACACAGAGCCATTGCTGAACTGAGCAGGGTGACGGAATCGTCAGATCCAGTCAGGATCTGGATGGTTGTGATTCTTCACTCTTATGATTCCCTGGGCCCTTTCTAGAGAGCAGAAAAAAAACAATATTATATATATATATATATATATATATATATATATATATATATATATATTTATAGACTGTATACAAGGAGTCTGACAGCAGCCAGTGCTCCCACACAGAGATCTGATCTCACCATCATCCAGTCTGTCTGGAATGACATGAAGAAACAGAACAAACTGAGACAGACTCAATCCAGAAGAACTGTGGAAACATCTCCAAGATGCTTGAAGAAATCTACCTGCAAAGCTACCTGAAAAACTTTTCACAGCACTGTAGCTTTGCAGGAAGGTTTCTTGAAGCATCTGTTGCCACAGTTCTTCTGGATTTAGTCTCTGTGTGGAGCACTGGCTGCGTAAAACTCAACTGTTTAACTCTAGGGGAGTTGGAAAATGAGCCTATTTTCAAAAACAGTGGAGTGTTCCTTTAAGTACACTCCATAAACAGACCACCACAAACAAATTCATTTCTTCCTCTCTATGCATTTAGTTTCCCTTTGAGTTGTTTTATTCACATCACCATTTTCATAACTTCTCGTGTTTGTTCAAAGTGCCTGAAATAAGATACATTTCTTTGTGGATTTCAGAGAGTCTGTTCAAACCCTGCCTCTCTGTTTTCATTGAACGTTCTGCCAGTGTATCGGTGTTTGAGTCCATCCTTTCTTTGTCTCTTTCATAAGTCTTGTTTTTCTTTCCCTTTCTGTTTCTCTCTCCTTCCATAAATGTATTCACACACAAAAAAAACAACAACTACCAGTTTGTTAAATCATGAATTTCTCTTACCTCATAGCTCATGTTGAGATATTTTGCAGGAGGTCTGAATCTGACACTTGTTGCAGTAACTGATAATGTATTTTCAATCCGAAAAGGCACTTTAAAAGCCTACATTTCCATAATTGTTTTTATATGCAAAATAGAATATTTACAATATTTTATATATTTTACAATCATTGTTTCTAACCAAACTGGTAAAAATCCAGTAACTCTGTAGACTTTATAATAAACACAAAAGTCTCAGTTTCGAGGCTGGCTTTAACTCAATTCATTCAATATGTGTGGAAGCAAAGGACAGAGGAGTTATTTGTCCACCTCTACAACAAACACTGATGTGTCTGAGCATGCTTTTTCACACGAGCTCTGACATTACTGCTTTAACACTGAGTATGAAAACAAAAGTGGCATCTTATCAATGAAAACAGATGAAAGAAAAGTAAAACTGTAGACTTTAAAGTACCTGGCTTTGGTCCCGCTGTAGACACTTGGAATGTTGTGGGAAACCTGAAAAGATGTCCTCGCTCTCCTGTTCTGTCTCGTGAGGATCCTTTCTGGCACTCATCAGTCAGTCTTTACCCTCCAAAACTCACGTAGGAATAGGGCACAGAGTGAAAAAACAAGCTGAAAAGTTATTTGGCTTCCCTTCCTGTGTATGATGTCATATCCTGATTTTGTCTGGCAGGCCCCGTTGTCTGATTTTGTGTGCCTGTGTGTGCTCAGGGGCAGTATGAAGTTAAAAGGAAGAATTTGATTGGTGGTGGGAGGAGCAGCAGTGAGTCTGTGAAGTCCAGTCCCACATCAAGCCACATCCTTTGCCCTGCCCAGCTCCCCCCAAACTCCATTGTGAATGGAAACTTCAAAACAAGAGGACTGTATCCCAGCCTGTCCATTACTATACAAACTTCACACTTTCCTGTTTCTCAGACCATCTAAATCTAGTTTGAATTAAAAAAATTCTAACTTTTAAAAAAATCTATGTAATTAAATTTATTAAAAATGTTAAAAATAATATGTAATACTTTCTTAAATATATAAAAATGATTTAAATAAGAATAATTTTTAAATTAATGTAAGTTAAAAAATTTTTGTTATATTATATTTATTCATAATGTTTTTAAAAAATGGTCTAGAACTTTAGAATACATTGTGATTTTTTGAAACCAAATTCAATTACTATTAAAAATTTGTTGAGGGATTATGGCATATATTGTTAATAAATTGGACATAAAATTGTTTAACTTAAAACTGATAAATAAAGAAAAATAGAACACCATTAATACTCTGAAGCACAATTGTGAAGTAATGTCATTACAATAAATAACCACTAGATGGAAATATATAATTTCCTAAATATAGTGGCACAATGAATGGCATTTGGTTTAAAATCTTTTTAAAGCATAAAGTGAAAAGCAATAGCATACATTGTGAAAAAATTATAAAGGCTTTTAAGACCCTTGGAGTACCTTTATCTCTTGAGTCATGAAGATAGTACACTGTTTTTTTTAAGTTAAATGAATGAATGAATGAATGAATGAATAAATAAATAAAGGTTATATGTTTTACAAGAAAATACTATTTAAGTTTTTCTACTTCAAAATGTCATGCTAAGTTACTTGCCATTTCTTTGTAATTGTAATTTTTGTTTTGTAAACAATTTGTGAAATATACTGCTTCAACACCAATTTTCTTTTTTTTTTCAGTGTGGGAATATACCTGATGGGATGTTTATGGAAGCCCGTTTCCGCCACTGAATAAAAAATAACAAAAGGTAATTCTGACTTTGTGAAAAAAAGTCAGAATTGTGAGATAAAAAGTCGCAATTACCTTTTGTTATTTTTTATTCAGTGGCGGAAACGGGCTTCCATAGATGTGGTTAATAGAAATATACATAAATATTTTTGTGTGTTTGAATACGATTTTTTTTTTCTTTTTCTTTTTTTTTAGGTTTGTTTTGTAAAAAAATGATATTAATGTATTAACTGAGCCAGAAATCACTTGTCTAATGGGTTGCTGTTCTAACTCCATTAGCAATCAGGTCATAATATCCAAATTATATTTCTAGAATGTTCTGAATTCCTTCAGCAGCGGGTGTGTTGTCTTTATAATCTAAATGTTACAGATCAAAAACTAGATCTTGTTCAGAATTCTGTTCCGGTGCTTTTCTAATGTTTGCTGTGTTTGGTTACTCGATTGGGATGTTCTCTTTTATTCTGGAGGGCAAGGGCAGTGACTGTACCATCGAGCGTATTTTGCAGTATTAAACACGTATTTATACCGATTTCATCAGGCTCCGAAAATTCTTCAAAAAGAACACAAAGAATGGCCTTCTCAGCTGCCATAGTTGCAACTCTTGCGTCATCAGAACAGTGTGTTCAACGCACCACCGTTTCCGTTTAAAAAACGTTTTGCACCGTTTTTGTCGGGGCTGAACGCAGCCCAGATGTTTCAAACCTCAAACATCTTTTATCAAACCTTTCAAACCTGGGCTTTGGTCACTGAGGGCATCACTGTCACTAATACCTGACCCTGACCTCATATTCTTTCACAGGATACTTTATTTCTGTGTTTTTAAAATGTACAAATTATGCAGTATATGTCTCACGACTTGTGGGGCTTGTTTTGCAATGAACACGTACAAACATTTTTTTTTTTTTGTAAATGCAAATGAAAAAGAAAGGAATTAGAGAGTTTACTGGTTGATGTCTGTTTACTGAAGTGTGTTATCCTGAGCAACTATCTGAACTAAGACCCTGACATCATCTCAAGCTTGTCTTATCTGTGCTGGTCATCTTACTTGTCATGTAACAATTTCCCTTTGCTTAGGTGTATGTCATTCTGGAAGTAACGTGAAAATGAGGTGTATGTCACTCAAGCGAAAAGACATGTCATTTTAAAGACAACTTCTGAAGAAAATGTACTTTGTGGTGTACTATCTCATATTTAATCAAGCGAATAGGCCTACAAGAAAACAGTGAATTAAATATGTGAATGTGCAATATGTATTGTCTTTTTTTTTTCATTTTCATATCAGCTACAGACACTGGCATACCACAACATTCATTAAGAACAAGAATTCTCCAGAATGTGCCTCAATGCCTCAAGGAATGAATAGATAGACAGAACAGATAGAAAGAAAGAACAGACGCATACTGTAAAATCCAATAGTTTACCTTACTTAGATATAATTAGTTATCTTTACTTAGTTGTTATACTTACTTGGTTTTATTAAGTTACAGCTAATTTTAAGGCGAATAAAACAACTTGATGCAATGAGTAACTCTTAAAATATTCAAGTAGCCGCAACAAAACCGATGACATTAATACACCAGTGAGAGGCAGCAGTGTGCTAATATGTTGCTAATGTGCAACAAAATAACAGAAGAAAAACTACGGAAAGTTAGCGGCATAGACATAATAAATACTATTAGTATTAGTTAGTATTTATCATGTCTAGAGAGCATGCGCAACAAGCAACGTTTTGAATTTGTGCGCCAAGTTTGCTGAGACTGCTTGCATTTTTACCACTGGACAAAGACTGATTACTTCTATAAAATAACAATAAGGTAAGTTTAAAAAAAATAATTGTGTCAGTGTATCTTTCTGTGTGCTGCTAATTTTAACTGACTAAGTTAACCTTGTCAGCATGTTAGCTAACAGACACCAAAGATCTTTGCTATTCTGCTGGTAGAACAACGACTGTACAAATACAGAACTTGTGGCGTATTTTGGCGAATTTAAGACTTTTGTTTTTTACTTTTCAAACTGAAAAAATTGTAGCTAGTTTAAAAATTAAAGTATGAAAATTCCGAGGTACAATTCAAGAACATGCCAAAAGTCGTCAAGATGAGCTCCCGGTAGGTTTTAAAGTCAATCTTTATGTGCCGCTGATAATTAATTGTTTACTGTAATCTTTCCCAGTGTTCAGTCAGTGTTCCCTCTATAATTTTATAACACTGTGGCTTTGGTCACTTTTTAGATTAAAGTTATTTTTCAGTTTATAATTTTATTGTCAATATTTTTAAAACATCACAGTCATAGTCAGTGCATTGGTTTAAACTGAATAAGCTCTTTGTCTTGCAGTAATTATTTCTTTGCTGTGTTGAAACATTTACTACTGTAATACCGAGGACATGCTGCTTTTCAATTGGTTTTATGACTGAGGCCTCAAGTAGATATGTATAGAAATTTTCTTTCTTGTAAAGCATGCAAATATCAAGGAATGAATGTGTCTGTAATCCACAATTCACAACAATAGTGGAACTTGCCTTTAACTGAAAAATTATTTGTCATATTTATTTATTGTCATACTTGTGGCAGCTGTCTTCTCTGAACAGCAGTCTCGTGAACACCGGCCTCAGTACAATGAAGGTAAGGTATTTCATTTTTAGACTGTTAAACAGCAGTAGAGCAGTTTTTGGTAATAATATTTAAAATAAACCATGTCATTGACTTCTTTATTGACACTTTGACAAACATATTTGTACTGTATTTTTTTAATGTCTTAAACTTTGTTTTTCTTTTCATACTTCTAGAACCCAGAATTGACAGCAGTGCACACCCATCTGAGGCCGACCTGTTTTACTTTATGATCACCCCAGATACTTCTACAACTAACCCGCTTTGTAAGTTCTCATAGCTACACCTTAAAGAAGCACATAATTTGCTGGTAAATTACTAAGATTTTATAAAGATTAATGTTGATTATATACCTAGTTCAACAAAAAATGTAAATTATGCCACTTAATCTCCCTCCTGTCATTCCATCCCATAAAAAGGTGTGCATCTTCAAGACATGAATGAAGATATTAACCCCAAAACTCTGACACCCAAGAAACCATAACATAAATCCATATGAATGGAGCGTGTAATCTACTTTTGGGCCAAACTGTTCTATGAATGCTAAGGAGCAGTTTCAGTTATATTTCCACTTGAACTTGGTTAGGCATAGTCTGATCACAAACTGTTCTTGATCTGGAATTATTAGCCAAACACACTGAACCGTGCTGTAGAATGCCTTCTTTGGAAGAGACATGATTGCTATATGATCAACTGTCTAATGTTTTGGGTAAATAGACAGAAATTTATATCGGATTTCACTGAAAATTTCTTTATTTGTGTACCGAAAATAAACAAAAGTCATGTTTGAGTAAATGATCACATAAATTTCTAGTTTGGGTGAACTAACCCAATAGCATGGTAGTGTAGGCAGGACAGATAACACTGACAACTGATCATCCATATTTCCCTACTAATATTGTTTTTATTTGGTTTTATACAGGTGTCTGATGTTGATGCAGCCTGGGCACTAGTATCTGTTGGGGTTGCTGACTATCACTGAAGATTAATACTGTGAAGAACACTTACAGTGTGATGCTTGACTTGGGACAGAAAAAAAAACCCATTGGCAACTTGTGCGGCCAACCCAGTGCCATACCCATACTCTGCTACCTCCACTGTTTACAAGAAGCATACCCTAAATCAGATTGTTTTTGCTTTGTTTCAAAATGTTTGTAATACAAGTTAAAACTGCACTGAAAAACATAAAAAAATTCATTACCTTTAACTTTGAGCTTTCACTACCTTAAATCTATGTGTAATTGTATGTGTGTGATGAATGGAACATTGTTGTCAGTAATTTGTAATGGATGTTTGAAGCACTTAAGTTAGTGGAGTAACGCTTACTTGGTTTTTTTAAGGCAATCGGTTTGCATGCTTTTAGCAAGTAAATCAGATTGCTGTTTAAGTAAATACAACTTATAAATTCCAAGTTGCAGGAAATGCTACATGAGTTGACTCAACTTAAATAAAAGATTTGTTTGAAATACGCACATAGTATATTGTACTTATTCATTTAGTTGTTGAAAATAGTGATTCTGAGTTACCAGAACTTGTGTGTAAGTTTACAACACTAAATAAACCTTTGTTAGTACAAATTACTATTCTTATTGAACTTATTCTTATTTTTTCAAGGCAATCGGTTTGCATGCTTTTTTTAAGTTTTACTAATTGGAATTTACAGTGTTGTATGCATTTGTCATTTTTATTTAATCTATTTATTTTTAAAATGTGTATAGGTCGTATTTATAAAGTTTTAGCTTTTAGTTTTGGATCTGTTTTTAGTTGTTTTAACACTACAATTGATTGCTTCTGTTGTCCTCATTTGTAAGTCGCTTTGGATAAAAACGTCTGATAAATGACTAAATATAATATATAATAAATATAATATAGCAGCCTCATGCTGAGGGGCTGTTTTTCAGTGGCAGGGACCGAGGGACTCGTCAGAGTAGAAGATAAACTCAGTGCACCAAAATACTGAGATAGCCTTAATGAAAACCCATTAGACAAACATGCAAGCAGACTGAAAGATTAGATAGATAGACAGACAGGCAGATAGATAGATAGATAGATAGATAGATAGATAGATAGATAGATAGACATGATAAATATAAAAAAAAATATGTATATATTTATAAAAAAGTAAAATAAATAATAAAAATGATATAGATAGATAGATAGAGATATTAAGGTAAAAATAGTTGTATGCATAAAAATATATAAAATATACATAAATATCTAAAAAATAAACAAATTATTAATAATAGATAGATATATACAATATATAAATTAAATAAAATCTAAATATATATAAAAAGTAAAAATCATTATTAGTAAAATTATTAATAATAGATCATATATTAACGTACAAAAAAATAAATGTATACACAAATAAAAATATATAAAACATAGGCTACAATATAAATATATATAAAACTGTCAGATAAAAATGTAAACATAATAAAAATGATAGATAGATAGATAGATCATACATTAGGGTACAATAAATAAATGTACCCTATACACAAATAAAATATATATCTAAAAATAAGCTATAAAACATAAAAAATAAAATTAATAATAATAGTAGATAAATAAAATTAATAATACAAATTTATTACAAATGATAAAAGACAGAATTAAAGAGAATAAAATAAAATGTGGTTTACCTGGCTGACTCGTCACTTTATGGCTGTGTCTCAAAAACTAGTGCTGCCTACCTAGACTGAACGAGCGCCCCTCACACAGCGTCTACGATGCCCAGAAATGCAGTCTAGGTAGGCATGTAAGTAGGCTTGGAGACACAGCCAGTGCCTACGCTCTGGGTTGAGCCTTCAAAACACCTGAGGGGGAAACGCGAAAGTACAGTTGGGGGTCTTTTGTGTTTGTGTGTGTGTGTAGTGCTGCTGGGTTAGATAAACAGAGCAGTCGTTCATTCTCTTTGATTTGTGTGATGACTTTTAATTCTCGCGACATCTTTAAAGAAGGACCTTTCCGTTCACACGTGGTTTTACGCAGAAAAGTGACATTTTGACGAAGTACAGAAGCTTCTGTTTCCTCGAGAAGGGTCTGGTTTCCTCCGCCTCTGAAAAGCTGCTATTGGTTTAATCTCAGCTCTCGATCGCGTCGTTTCCTGTCTTTTGTTCAGGTGTGTCGTAAGAAGCCGCTATCTGAAGCAGCCAGAGGCGTTTTGACGATCTCCTGATAGCACTCGAACATTTTAGAGGTGAGTCCTAAATGATTTTGACCTCTTTAGTTCAGTTCTGCAAAAGTGCATCTGTATTGCCAAAGCATTTGTCTTGTAACTGCGTACAGTGAGAAATTATGCAACGTAAAATAGGCTACCAGTAGTGCAAATAAGTAATATTAACAAATAAAACAAAATGCAAAGTTTAAAATAAAATTCAAGTAAAATAAAACGAAAGTAAAAATTAAAATGTAACCAAAATGAATAAGTTACACAAGTAAAAAAAAAAGATAAACATAAATGATGAAGAATAAGACTGAAAGTGATTTGGAGACTAACACGTGAAGTTATGGCAGACTAACTCATACATTATTAAATACAAAGTGTTTCAGTTTAATTTTGTTGTCATTTTCCCCAAGATGTCTGTTTTAGGGTGCATTCTGTCAAAAAGTGTCCCGATTTTACAATTCTAAACAATTTATAGATCAAATAAGTAAAACTGTGACATTGACCACATGATTGTTTTTCTTTGAAGCACAAGATGCTGCTTGAATCATTCTGAAATCATGCTGGAGAACACTATCATCAGCTTTTAGACATGCGCTTCATGCAGCTCGATAGAAATTGGGCAGAATAAGAAATTAACACTAGAAAATTATGAAGTTGATCTTACATTGTCGAATACGTAGTGCTTCCGTTTAACTGTAACATAATTTTTCCCTAGATTCTGTCAAAGTTCAGTCTACGTTTCCCGTTTCTGTTGTGTCTGCTGAGTCTGTACCTTGTCAAGGTGGCTCTCAGTTTTTATCTACTTACAGTGCATTCAAAATATACATTGTAATGTGGGAATCAAACCCTCTTACTAGACCCGTGCGCTTCAAGTAGAGCTGCAGGAACAACAACAGATGTTTCATTTGAGAGGGATGAGGTTGATTTTAGTAAAACATCACGATTTCATCTCCTTTTCAGTTCTCCCAGAGCTACTAGTAGTAGCGATGTAACGATTAACCGCGAGCCGGTTGAAAATCGATTTAAATATGTGACGATTCAAATCGGTTGAGATGCTAAACAAATCACGATTCAAATAGGAGTTTATATGAATGTATGTCTGAGGGAATCGTGAACCGAATCGTGAAATCAAAATCGTGAATCGAATCGAATCATGAGTTGAGTGAATCGTTACATCCCTAACTAGTAGTCTATAAAACAATAGTGTAGCGGTTTGACACAAGTTACAGTTTAAAAGGATAGTTTAATCCAAAAACGAAACGTCTTTGATCATTTACTCACCTCATGTTGTTCCAAACCTAAATGATTTAAATTTTTGAGTGAACTATCCTTTGAAGCACCACTTGTCTGTATTGTAATAAGTGATTTATTCTGCATCTGAAGAAGAGATTTTACTCTGGTTTACTGGTTTGATTATAGGTCAAAGACGAAAATGGGTTTTCAAGGATGTGTACATTAGAATATGTCCTGTTTAATTATTATTAGATTTTTTTTTTCTGAGCAAAAATAATGACTATCATACATTTTTACCATGATTTACAGAAGACACCCACTAAAATAAGAATAAGTATGTTGTTTCTTTTTTATATAAATATATGCTGAATGACGATGGAACATTATTTCACCCATATTTTGGCCTTGTATTTTCACAAAAGTTATTTGAAACATTAAAGCAGACACTTTACTTGCATTTAATATGCTTTCTGTGTATATAAAATCACTTTTGTAAATTTAATTTGATGTGGACACCAAAATGGGACGTCTCATCTTTGACCCATAGACGTTGGTGATCTCCCTTTCAGAAATGTTTGACCTCGGCCAAAGGTAAGCGAGGGTGACCCGTCCCTCATGGTAATGCTAAAAGAAAAGCTTGAGAAGCTTGTTTACTGACTTGTTTATAGTAAAAACTGAAGTGTTTACTATACGGGAAAGTGCTGCTGTGTCTTGTAACGCACAGTATATTTAGTTTAGCTTAAGTTCACCATTTAATTGCTTGATGAGTGAACTGTTACTCTCTGTGTACTGCCGTATTCTCCATCGAGTCCCAGATAATGTTTTTACCGAACCTGAGAGAAGAGCTTCATCTCGGCTGTTAGGGTGTTGAAAGATTGTTTCACTTGCTAAGTGTTTTGCAAGTTTCCTCTTTACAGTTCTGTTAGTTTCCGCCGAAGGGATGAATGACACCTTGCCAAGTTTTTGAGTTTAGTAAACGCCCATTAACCTTTTGCATTCTCTTTGTGGGCTGGTAGGCAGTTTGTTATTATAAGAGGAAAGTTTTCCCATAATGCATACATTAGTCAAGTTTCACTTTATAATGTATTGTATGCATCATTGGTTATATTTTAATGTGTATGTGCAAGTTAAGTCCTCTTCACCTATCAAAGGTGTCTTTGATAAGAGTCACATAGGGTTTTCTGGAACATTCAGTGTCTTAGAAATGCATAGAGTTAGTTTGGAAGATCCATTTTTAAAGTCGGCTATCTGTTTTATAAATGCATGTTTATAGATCTTATTGTAAACACAAAACATGTGCATGTTTAATTAAAAAATCATTTAGGCTGCTTTTCGATAATATATTACACTTGGAGGTACGTGACAATACAGAAGTCGCTACTTCCGTTTCAATGCAACTTGTATGTAAGATTCCCACTTCTTTTTTTGTCATTTGTTCACAGAAGTGAGAAATGGGGAAGTTCTGGTTTGCAGTGACTGTGTGAGATTTTCTGGGTGGTTTTGTGTGATACAAAAAAATATTGAAATCTTCTA